AATCTATTAGTTCGTGAAGAAAGTTCCCGGGCACTTGCGAAAATTTTTTTCAAATCGCTGTAACTTCAAGCAGACTGATTCTTTTTTGAAGCTACAAACTTCATTGCAAAGACAATTTTGTTCGCAACAAATATTTGTCTTGCTGGCTTCTCAGCACCTCACTGCGGTCCACCAGCATGCGCAGAAGGAAAAAAGGTCGTCGCGAAAAGTGGCCTATTTGTGCAGGATTATCTCAGGTAGGATGAGAGCTGGAAAGCCCAGAAGCTGTAGTTATATAGAGGTCTGCTGGGGCTGTTATAGGGGGAGGGCGTGCAGGAGTTCCTAGCACCTTTTCTCGCACCAAGTTCGCACCATCAATCGCACCCAGGAGGGTTCTAGCACTTCCGCATCTCAGAGGTCAGGGACCGCCCATTGCTCTAGCCATTAGCCCTCATTGTGAGGTGAGCAAGCAGAGAGAACAAAAAGAAAGAAATTGAAGTATTGAGAAAGAAAAAATTGGAAAAAAGAAGTAGCTGTCATTTCATAGTTGAACTATTAGGTTGTCGGATAATTTCTGTTACACTTTTTATTTTAATTCTTAAAAATTTCAGAAGCTTTGGAAAGATCTCATGTTCACGGTGTATGGGTAGGATCAAAAGGCCTATACAAGGGTACGGTCATATCCGCGATCCATGCGCAAAACACTTACTTTGTGGCTAAAAATCCTTTTCTTCCCATTTTTGTAAATGAGCTGGCGTTCCCTTAGGTAATGAGCGATAGACCGAACAATGTGGTAATCAAGTAGGGCATAGTCTGTAGCGTTTAGCTAATATGGGGGGATAACGCGGACATGTCTGCACACGTTTTTCTGAGCGGTTCAAATCTCAATGTGCGCCATTTTTGCAATCATCGGAATTTTTACAAAGAGAACGTCCTCAGAAAATTTCAAAAAATCATTTTTATGTTTTCTATATTCATTTCTACACGATGCACTTAAAGGCAGTGGACAGGCAAAATGGACCCCTGTCAGATTTTGGTAGTTTCGGGTAGTGGACCCCCCAAGTACACCGCAGCCCCAACCCCAACTTCCAATTGATGCGCTAAGTCCTGAAAAAAGCGCTTCAAACTTCCACCAATAACGCCCACTCAATGCAAGTGGGCGGGGCTGGTGGAGTTTTGAAGCGCTTTTTTCAGGACTTAGCGCATGAATTGGAATGTGGGGTTGGGGCTACGGTGTACTTGGGGGGTCCACTACCCGAAACTACCAAAATCTGACAGGGGTCCATTTTGCCTGTCCGCTGCCTTTAAAAAGAAGAATTTAGGAAAGTTTTTGAGTTTTTTTGATATTTTTTTCACTCCTCGTTTTTGAAACGCCTAAAGCACCGCAATGCCTCCATGTAAGAGACAATGCCAAAATACGTTCTAAAAAAATTCTGGAGAGAGAAAGCGCAAGTAGGTGCAGAGAAAAAGATCAAACAAAAACTGAAAAATTTGGCTGCTTTTACAAAACTGCCGTAAACTTGTTGGTCATTAGTGCACTTGCGGAATCAATTATGCTGGTGGGTAGACCCTGCTATGTCCTAAGCGCGTTGCAGATTTGAGGTTTTTAGAAAGCTTCTGGAATATTCTAGAAATTTTAGGAAAAAGCGTAACAGAAATTATCCGACAACCTAATATATGGAAACATGAGCATGTGATTTTCACTGGTTACAAACTTCACTAATAAGTACGCTTTATTCAAGTTAGTATCAAAATTTTAGTATGAATGCAGCGCCCAGTTTTTTTCCAAATCGGCGGTTACCAGTTCAGATATAAAAAATTATCTAGAAATTAATGTTGCCACTCTCTGGATTGTTCGATTTGAAAATTGATTGTTTGCAATGAAAAATCGGCTACTCAGGTATATAAATGAAAATTGATCACTTGTGCGTTTTCTTGAGAAAAATCGGTCATGTTACTAGAAGATTTCGAGAATTTTAGGTGGCCAATTCAGATGCTGGCTTAGGGCATTCAGCGTTCGACTTTCCAAATGACTGTACTTATCGAGGACTAGAAATCTACTTCTCCTAGACTCGACATTAAAAAAATTATCTTGTAACAAGTTTTCGGTTTCCTTCACTTTATATGCTGTTCATAAGCTTGGATGTTTGTACTTGGTTGTTAGACACGTTGTCTTGTTCGGAGATTCGAGAGTAGCATAAAAAAGATTTCTAAGGGAGCAGCTAAAGGTGGCGAAAAGAGTGTTGCTTTACTTTTTTTAAGACATAACTAACACTGGTAACCAAGATTTTGTGAACTTATCTGCAATCATTCGCTGTTTCCAATGTTTGAAAAAAATTGAACTCAGTTAGCGAATTTTCTCGAATCAGCTTGATTTAATTGGTCCTCACTTTTTATAAACACAGATTCCACCGCGCTTGCACAATCTAGAATGAGCGCACTTAGAAGGCGGAGAAAAAGGCGGAGCCGTTCCTCGACCTGTGAAGGTGTGATGTCCCTTCCAGGTTTCTATGAAGGTGCTAATCACTCCTGCAAGGAAAGTCGGCAAGGGTTTGGGAACTCCTGCCACGCCGCCGTTATGGGGACCATTCATGTTTTTGAAGGATCACCTGCAAAAAAATTTTCCTCAGAAAGTTTGAAAAATTGACCATTTTTGCCCCCAAAAATGCACCACTTTTTGAGTAAGTGACTTTGAGGTCTGCTAGTTCTGCACAAAAAGGATCAAATCTTTAATTACTGGGAACATTGTTGGGGTAGTGCCTTGCACATCTTTTGGACCCATCATCCAGGCGTTGCGATCACCGCAGAAGAGACGCCAGCTGCGAAAACGCTTCAGTCAGAGGCAAGTTCGACAGCTTGTAATTTCTAAGCGCAAATCGCAAAACTCAAGTGCAGCTGCGTAACGAAAGTTGACAGGCTTCTCAATCAGAACACCATAACTTGGACGAAATTCCTTGAACTACTCAAAGAAATGGTCGTAGGAAGAAAAACTGTGAAATTTTTATGGTTGAAAAGATTTTTCTTTTTGATGTGCAGATCAAATGCGTCTTGACATCGATAAAAATCAGAAGCCGTATTAAAAACTGTAGGCTTCCCTCTACTGAACAGTATGGAAAATTTGGTGTGAAAGTCCGACCGAGCGCCGAAAAAATGCCTTTGAAAACGAAATTTCCAAAAGTGCCCGAGAACTTTCTTTATAACCTAATATAATCTTATTCGCCACAGCATGTTGCAACTACAAGGTGGAAGTGGAATATATGAGAACAATAAAGTTAAAGATTTCTGGTATGAATATCACTCGGAGTTTTTCACATTGTTTTTTCCATATAATCACACCATCCAATTTCTGACTGTCTTACTGGAGCTACTAATCATTCACCAAATATTCCTTTTGTAATAGTGATGCTATAGACTAGTTTGAGGATCTCTAAAGTTCAGGCTATAAATCATGCCTTTATTGAGTCAAGTCAGACGTTTGCTACGTGCAGCAATTTGGAGGAGGAGGCAAACAAAAAGGAGAAGATAAATCAGTTTGCAAGATTCTAAACATACTGCACGTAATGATAGTTTCTAATGCAGAAATGACTCATGCTATCGAAAGGAGTTTAGTGATCTGCAACTAGAAAATTCATACGTCGAGAAACTAGTTCAAGAAGGTCATGTACATGAAATCATCTTTATTGAACTAAACCCGTTATGCTAACTGTGCAAAACAGCTGTCTAGCCCTACAGTTTGAAGAGCTGCTAATGAGTGCTAATGACATTTGAGAAGATCTATTTTGACGGGGATTACATTAACAGTTTTTTAATCATTTAGCAGATTTTCAAAAGGTTATTTAGCCGCGCCTGATAATCGTAGAAGTAGTGCCGTGCACAGTAGTATGTGTATGCCAAAAAAATATAAAATATAGATAATTACTTTCGATGGTGACTCTGCAAAACCTTGTGTTTTATGTTGCAGGTAGAAGCAGAATGCGACGCCCACTTGGAGGAATTATTAGTCGTTAGCGTTTTTCGTGCGTATATGGTTTCAATTCGGAGAATTTCTCAAAAACCTTGTTCTGCCGGGTTTGCTTCTGACTATAAAAGAGCCGCAGAAATGAATCAAGCAACGCACCTACTCGTTTAAAGCTTTCTCAATCATCAGCTGCTTAAAACCCATTCAACTTATACAATTTCTTCCTTTGAAAAACATTGCTTAGTTTCGGCAATGAAAATGCCTTCTACGCACAAGTATCATCAAATGTCGTTCACTAGTGAAGGTCGCAAAAAGGGTACAAGAGGGAGCTGCGGCAGTTACAAATAAGCTTGAAGCGGTAGCAATCATCATTATTTAAGTAGTCTACTTCAAACTTTCGTTCTCGCTACTTGTTTTGCGTAGTAAGGGAGCCAAGAGGGGAGAATACGGGATTTGTGTAATAAGGACAACCTCAGAAAATTTAAATGACTTTAGCTGAGCAATCGGAGGCAGCGGCAGGCAATGCGTAATTATCCAAATTTCGTATATGTTGTGCTTTCTTGAAAAAATAAATAAACAAGAACCAGCTAGAAAAATTAAGAGTCGATGAAGTAAGTTTGCTATTTGAACTGTTTATCAACCGTTTATTGATTCTAAGTAATTTATTGTTTCTGTGGATAAATCCCAACGCAATCCAGTTCGTAATCGAATTACGGGTCACGAACAGGATAAGCTATAAGCTGTGAATCTTTGATGGTATCTGTAGACTTCTATTAGATTGGCTTATAAATAAGTCTGCTTTGAGATCCATGTAAAGCCTCTACAACAATCCACGTAGCAGCTATTCAGCTACGAATTTTTTTTTCGGAAGAGGACCTAGCTTCATGGCTCTACTTTCAATATCAAATAGTCATTTTTTGTCACCAGATAATTACAGTTATGCCCTTATATGATCAGACTTTTGAAAATTGCTTTTTTTAAGTTTTGTTTTCAGCCTGTACTGAGTGCACAGACGATTATATTGGTGGATGGATACATATGATCTTTGACTAGACGGCGAACCATGGAGATTGCGACTGCTGTTTATGAATTTCTGGTTCCAAAAACGTGATAATTTCTAGGCATTTGCGAGTTCAAGTCATATTTTGAGCAATCGAAATCGCTCGAATGTGACTATTTTATGGCCTGCATGCAAATAGTAGAAAAGTTGTTGAAAATAGTTGAAAATTTGCACATCTGTTGTGTGAGTACCGTATCTTCAACTGAAGTACGTTTTTTGAAGCCCGGTTTTTCGAAAACTTGAAGAAAAAATGTGACTCGTAGTCAGCAAATTAATTTTTGCAAAACAGTAATGGTCCGATTCTCCTAATTTGCTCTTCCCAATGGCACCATATATTCACACAAAAATGATTTGTAACATGTTATATGTTCTCTGGTTATAAAACCGCATTTGGGCATTAAGTATATGATTTGTAGCATTTCTACAAATCGCTAAAAACGACCAAAGAATTTTTTTAGCAAAATAGTGATTTACGAGTTGGTTGCCTGATTTTTCATATTCGAACAATTACCACGAATTAAATGATATACCAATATGACATGCATGTTTTTGCAAGTTGCGTGATTTTCGGCACAGCATATATACGTTTTCTGCGAATGTTCTACACATTGGTGCCTTACATAGTTTCAACACTTTCAGGAGCTCTCTACTCAAAATGACTCTCTTGTGGTTAGCAATCTTTGTCGGTAAGCAAATATTTCTTTTTTAACATTGCCTCGCTTAATTATGTTTTTAGGGTACATGGCAGCTGTGCAGGGCATGTAAGTTTCATACTAGACTTATTGAGAGCTATACTAACATCATATATGGGCTTTGTCGACACAAGCGATCAGCAGTGCACCCGTAACTTTTCAGGAGCCCGGAAGATGTTAAGAAACACACCATGGAATCACTTAGCGTCATTCCTGTCGGAGATTTTCATCACGGCAGAGACTTCTATAAATTGTAAGATGTCAAATGGTTGTCTCATGACATGGAGAGTAAGTTTTCAGCTTCTTCACAAATTATCCAGAGGTTCGAAAATTCTACAAAGGTGCCGAAGAGTTTAAAGCTGATGATGTACAGAAAAGCGAAAGGTCTGTTTGCGTAATGCGTCAAGTCAAGTCTGCATAATGTCTTTCAGATTTGACAAATTAGGAGACGCCATACTACTTTTTGTGCATGTCTTAGCCAACACTTATGACAACGTAAGTTTTGCGGAGCATACAATGCCATTTCGCAAACATTATGATACTGCTTACAGGAGCCAGTGTTTCGGGCCTTCACACGTAGAACTATGAAAGAACATTTTGACCGAGGAGTAGACCCTAAATATTGGAAGGTTAGTTAGGTAACCTTCGTAGAATGTTTTGAACAGACCCTCAAACTTTAAGGGGTGTACGTACGTATTAGGGACTTCAACTTTAGGGAACATGTATATTAGTCTCAAATTTTTAGTGCATAAAATTCTTTTTTTAAGCCTTCCTTTTCACAACTTTGCAAGCAGCATTTAGTAAGCCATTTCTATTTCTCTAAAGAAAAGGAAAGATTTAAAGCCTATAAGAGAACAAATAATTCGCTGGCTTCATACATTTTTGATGTTCTGATCAAGTCTTTTGTAATTACAGCTGGTTTGGCCGATATGGACGGAATTCATGGAAAGCAAAGGTGCAAAACTGACGAAAGACCAGAAGGAAGCATGGGAAAAATTGGGTACACTGTTTAACGAAGAGAGTCAAGCATACCTGGCCAAGTTAGGACTTCCACACACTTAATACTATTGTAAACGCCCGTGTTTGGTGTACATTCTCGCAAAAAAAATTGCAATAAATACATATTGTCTTATCGTTTTCTACAGGATAACGTTCTTTGGTAATTGAAAATGATTTCGACAACAAAGGGATAATATTTGAAAAAAGATGCGTCAAATTATAAACTGTTCTATGAGACCAAAAATTGAAGAGAATCGTTGCAGATTATCTTCAGGCATCTCGAAAGCTGAGAAGATGTGAGCTTGATTTACGGTTATCACGACTATTTTTTTTCTAAAGAAAGGAAAGTTATGAAAATAACAATTACTTGGAGCTTTCGATTCCTTTTTCTAATAAGCAATGGGCTGATACTACTACCACTTTTCTTTCTTTTTCAACAACCTCAATTTTTCGCGCCCTGCAGGCAAAATCCAAGCATTTAGCATTTCAAGGATAGAACTGCTAAAGAAGGCTATCCAAACAACGATCTGATAATCTCTCAAATTTTTTTGATGGAAATTTCCTCCTGATATGTTTGATGGCGATCAGCAGGTCGACTAATCAATTAAGTGAGCATTCGTAGAAAGAGCGCTGCTCACTATATATCAAGACCATCAAGTGAATCTTGCTGATGTAATAAATTATCAGTGTTCGGTGTAAGTGGCTCGTAAATTAGCTGGATAACGTTCTCCTGTGGAGAGCAAAGGAAATACGACGCTGTGACGCCACCAGTTAAAAGTTCTAATGTTCTTTCTAAGTACGAACACCGATAAGCGATGATATAGACGTTATTACTGAATTGATGCAAAATTAAGGGATGTTCCTTATCCTGAATCGGCGGAAAAGGCAATATATGCAACATGCCACTCGATAGAGCAAAGCAAGCTCTACAAGATAGTAATTAGATAATAGCAAAATGTTTGAGCTACATGAGTTTGGAGAGAAAATCACGATATCAATTACTCAAAATTCAGACTTTCGTCTCAGAAGATCCTGTAAACCTTCAGCTTGTCGCGCATATTACTATATAGCTATCAAAATTTCATACGTAGACTTGCCGCATTCTTTTGCAAGATTTTAAATTGAAAATGGATCGAAGCGAAGCTTTTTTTGGGTTTTCTATACTTTCTCTATGTCTATGCTGATCTAAAATTTTCCATGTTTATGCTTTTTATGCACTCAAGGCCATGAATTCATTGCAATTTTTAAAATGCATTTGATTGTTCGAAAAATAGTGATCGTTCCTTAAGTATTGGCGGCAGGTTAGATAAGTATAATGATGTAAAAAACCTCTTTTTCGATAGAAGAAACCAAGCTCTATAAGATAACGTTTATACAAACGCAAAATGTTTGATCCACGGAAAGTTTCAAAGCAATCAAATACCCCCAAAATATCATATGGCCGTCAAAAACGTTTCTGCACCACCTCCAACTTGGTCGCATAAGCTGTCAAGTTTCGCAGAAACGTTATGAACGAAAATCTAATTTCTGGGTATTTAAATTTTTTCGGACATTGCTTTCAAACTTCCTTATATCTAACATTATGCCATTGTTCGGAGATGCCATTTTGTAGAGCTTGCTTTCCTTTATCGAACGAAGTTTTTCACATTATAATACTTATTCTGTTGTAATCGTGAAGGGGCGGTCATTGATTTTCGGACAACCCAAAGTCCAAAATTACTTATGTTGTAGCGGCCCAGCATTGCTTATAGTAGAATATGCCACTTTTATTTTCTCAGCTACTAAACATGGGAAAACACAGCAAGTTTACATATGAATAGCTGATGCGACATTGATGATCATATTTTTTGTCGGAGATACCAATTTTCAACATTCGTAATTTTTTTGACTTTTCATCTTGATCTGTCATGTAACAAAATCCTTGCGATTAATTCAACACCGTCCCATAGAATATTCGCTTTATCGAGCGACATCTTTCACGCATTTCAATAACCTCTCGTCGCTTCAGTATAAGAAACATATATGAATTTTGCATCAACCCAGTAGGCGCACAGGAGACCGTGTACAGCAAATTTGCAGATATACGGATTACCAGTGCATCATTTGCTTTGCTATATCTTCAGCAGAAAAACTGTGTAAACTCATCGCACTTGTGCAGTGGAAAAGTACTCGGCTTAGCAGAAAAGAGACCAAAATAGGAAGCATATGTACATTGATTCAACAAGACCTGGCTGCAGCCGTTCGCTTCGCCGATTTTTGCCGATGAGAAGAAATGCGCAGTTGCTACGAATGAGTAATGGCTTCTGATTCTTGAAGATCTTCCTTTGCCAATAATCATTTTCGTTCCAGTCGGATCTATGAAATAGATATGGAAAATTGGCAGAAGCTTAAGCTTGCTTAGAGCGTTTAGGGATACGAACATCTTTAAAGTTGGCACAGGATTGATATATAAGTCCATAATTGACTGTGAACACAGAAGCATAAAGTTTTTCTGTCACATCTAGTCCAAACCAGGAAAACTCACGTTGTATTCGCAAAGAATAAATCTTGAGCACTCCTTCGACTTTTTAAAAGTCGATGAGCTATAGAATACGTAACTTTAATTTGAATTTGAAGAACACTTCGGGAACAAGACAGCATCATTTATTCAAAAGTGAATTGGTGAACGAAAAACGACTAGTAACAGTACTTTGAGCTAAAACAGCCAATTATGATAAATCTATTACATGTGGTGATAGCTTATTGCCAGTGGTATATGATCATTCATCTAATATAAAACTAATTCAGACTTTGCGATGTCGTCACATCATCCTACATAACACCTACCAAATTTTTTCTCAACAGGCTGGACGATAAATTTATGGGATTTCTAGGCAAGATTGGTTTATAGCTTGAAGTTGCACGTAGCCGTGGTTTTTGATCCGAAAGAGTTTACAGCAAATATTGAGTAAATCCTACGCGCTGTGGTATGATAGCGCTATAAAAGCAGGGTTGAATAGCACTCTCCACTTTCATCGGCAGCTCTCTTCTCAAGGTACAGTTGCACTTATTATAAGTATTTGTCCACAACAATGCAAGCATCTTAATCTTTTTTCTGCAAAAAAATTATTTCCAGTTTCTCTCATATGGCACAAACCATAGTCTGGATAGCTGGACTCCTAGGTTAGATCTGACTAGATAATTTTTATTTAATCAAGCTTAAGCAGTCATTATTGCTAGATTGATTATTTGTTTTTAGCTTGCTTCTCTGCGGGGCTGTGCATGTGAGTACAATTGGCAATTCATTCCAAATTTAAAGGAATGATTTTCGAGTTAATTTCTAAGATAGCTGCTCACCTTCAGGAGTCCAGCAGATGTGAAAACGAATACGGTGGCTTCACTTAGTGTCGCACCTGTCGGCGATGGACATCATGGCAGAGATTTCTACAAATAGTAAACTTTCTAGGGTTTTGATGAAAGATTACAATTTTATTCCATTTTAGTTTTCTCACAACTTATCCAGACAACCGCCGATTCTATAAGGGAGCTGAAAACTTTGGCGGTGATGATGTGCTGAAAAGCGAGAGGTTTCATAAGTTTCTTCTGAAAAAATCCAGATTATTCTTTCATTTTACAGATTCGATAAACTTGGAGATGCTATACTTCTTTTCGTTCATGTACTGGCTAACACCTATGACAATGTAACGAATCTCAACTTGAGTCTCCGAAAATTTGCATAAGATACAGTTCCTAGGAACCCGTATTTCGCGCCTTCACTCGTAGGGTTATGATCGAGCACAAGGACAGAGGAGTTGACCCTGCATTGTGGAAGGTGACGTTTTCTTTACATCATATTCTTGTTAACTCTTTCATCCTATAGAACGTTTCTCTCTTCCAAGTGGATAAATGAGAAGTTTGATAAAATTGCATGATTCTTCAGCAGCATGGATTTGCAGATATTCTTCAACAAATTTTGGCAAGAATTCTTAGAAAGCAAAGGAGCTACTCTGACTGATGACCAGAAATCAGCATGGGACACTTTGGGCGTGATGTTCAACGAAGAAAGCCAGTCAGCATTGACGAAGATGGGACTTCCTCATGCATAGGCTCTGTTGCCTTTACTGCCTATATATTTCGAAAATGTCTATTCTTATTCCAATAAATGGTTGAATGCAGAAAAGACCTTAGCCTTTTTGTCACATGATACAAATCAGTATAAATGAAGACTATTATCACCAAAGGAGCATGTCTACAATATAGTATTGTACAAACCAATAATGATCACTGATTAGTTCTAGAAAGTTTGTCTTGCAGGAACAAATAGCTAAGTAAATTCCAGAGCTCAGTGAATTTGGTTTTCTATAAGGTTTCTTTTATTTAAAGACAGAATTTTTTTACGGTAATGTGAAATATTTTGCGATAGGAGAGGAAATGCTTTCAGCTGATTTGCAGAGCATAGTGGTAAATTCGTTTCAGAAGTTCTCTCATCGCTCTGAACCTATCAAATAACTCCACGTTCCTTGGCTGCTGTTTGGATTTACTGTAGGCGTACAGATGCAGCTCAACCATATGTTTTATTTTGAGAATTTTGTCTTGTTATAAACTTTATATTTGCAACTTTATATTTGCTTTATAACTTGCTTTATAACTCTAACTTCATATTTGCTTGTTTATCCAACATTCAAAACGTTCACAATCATTCTAAGGAAAGGAGGTAGACGTCAGCGCAACTTTGTACTGACATTGTAGGCTATCCATCAGGTTTTGCTATCATAGTGTCCGTTACTTCAGCCGCCTGTGAAGTGCATGGGAAGTGGAAAGTGCATGACTTATGTCCACGACGAAGTAAAGCACACGCTCCATGGCTATAGAAAGCTTGAATCGTGGGCCATTGAGCACAAGAACTGCATTGCAGAATCAAACTGTGAAAGGTGACTAGAGATTCGAGCAAGGTATGTGTATCTGCGTTGCCTCTGGAGAAGACGCGACGAAGACTTTGGAGGATCCTGGCACTTCACCTATTGCCAATAACTAGGGCTGCAGAAGCTTAGAAGTGCTCGTTCAGAAAAGACGGATACACAGGTTTCTTGTTTCATCTGTGTTTGAAATAATGCCTGATCTTACTATTGATAAGTCGAATTTAGCAGAAAAATGTGAGGAGCAATTCCAGGTTGCAGGCGAAGCATGTAATAAAAAAGTAACTGACTTGAAGTCGATCATGATTCTGAAATAAACGTCTTACTTTATAAGTTTATTCAAGTGGAATGAGCACTGAGAGTAGATATTCAGCTACAACATAAGAGCACGAAAAAAATTTCAGAAACTATGCGTTTCCAGGCCTCAGGACTATAGAGGCAGACTTACATGGCAATATTCGCTTTTGATAGTTAAAGAGGTTTTTTTGGACTTCCTTCATGTGTTATTTGTATTTGTATTGGCTCCTCCCAGACTCCCAAACACACTCCCAAAAACTGTTCCAAGCGTACCGAGAAGACCCAATGTCACGCCGACCAGCTGCAGAGGATCTAAAGTCATAAATGTGTAGTATGCCAGTCAATGTACTTATTCAGCCATCTGTATGTGTGCTCCTCCCCTCAAGTAAGCTTGAAGTTTTTGGAGTAATTTGTTGAACAATCAGCACCTCGATACTGACGGAAACGCGGGTAAGACAGCTAAAACTGTTTAAAGGCAGCGTGCACCCAGAATCTACACTATCCAGTTCTATAAACATATGCAGTTCCCGGAAGCATATTAACTGTGTTGGTCCGGTCTCCCGTGCTTCTAAGAGGAGAAAACGCGCTTGATTCTTTATCGTTCCGCCCTTTTTTGCCGTCCGCCCTTCGGACGAATCTACGACAGTTGCAGTTGCAACCGCAGGTTGACATGCAGTTGCAGCTGCTTCTCGTTGGCCTGCCCACGGGGTCGATCAATTCGAAACTCGTCTGCCCTAAAAGACTTTTAGTTGGGACAGTAGTATTCTCAAAATTCTTCTTAGGATAACACGTGCGCAATGAGCTGATGAAATATAGTGGGTGCCCCAGTCAGCTCCCATAAGTACCACCGCGACGCACCCGCAGGCACGCCTTCAACGCGCTCCTCGACTCAGCCTGCTTTGAACGATTTCTTGAATTTTGTTCTGTTTGGTATTGTCACTCTCTAATCTCCCTATTTTAGGTTCAACAACCATAGACAATAGCCCATAATGTGTTTTTACGTGCACTGAAATCCCGAGCGCCTTTGTTTTTAGTAGTTCTCTCTTTTTTTTCAACTAATGAGGATTTTCATCATTTCTAAGCAGAACATAATTAGAGTTTTCTCTTACACAAAGCGTGCCATTAGATGAGTTTCTTGAATAGTGGTTGATTCTAATTCGATGTGAAAGCTTTCGATAAGCCAATTGTGCTTTCCGATTGTGCTCGTGTTCCAGCTTACATTTTTGACTTTGAAGTGAAAATTGTTGCCAGTGATGCTTGTCCTTTTTGATTCACTTAGTACCTTCTTCAATAATTGGAGAGCCTCACACTCGCAGCGGCTGGGAATCCGCGACTAGTAGAGGTTTTACTCACTACACTCTTGCCTATGTTTCTTTCGTGATAGGCTTAAGCACTTCCATTCTTCATTTCACTCCAATTGTATTTAGAAATGCTTTCATAAGAGGAAAAAGAAGCAGCAAATCGAGCGCGCGCTGCGTGTGCGCCGTAGAGATACCTATGGGAAGCTGGCCGGGGCCCAGACTACAGCATGGTTTTGAGTGCATATAAATAAAGACTTACCAAGAGAGAAGGAAGCCAGTCCACCAAGCGGCCCTGTACTAGGAAGCAAGGAGGATTGTCCGACTGATTGAGCATTTGGAGAACAGCAACAACAGCAACAGCAACAGCTATAGCATTGGCAACAGTGCCATGCGGCTAACAACAAAAGCATCTCGGACCTCATTATTCTAAAAGAGGTATTAGACGAAAAAGAGATCGAATTAACAAGGAAAGCTACCTAACTTAGCTGGGTTTTTTGGTAAGGAACTTATATGTTCTGAATCAGCTTCAAACGATGTTTTCAAATATACTATTCTTAGATGCCGAGCACCATTCCTAAGCGAGTTATGGGCCTTTTTCTCGCGAAGTTAGCATACTTCTCGACTCACTGGCAACCGGCATCATCATCTAAGTGGCGTTATGCTTCTTTTTAATGAATGACTGGATATGTGTTAATTCGATATCTCAGCACCTTTTTCTTGCAGATTTTTATCTACAGGCAGTCTTCCCGTCTGTTCAGTAGTACGCCAATTTTGCGCAGGAAAAAGCCCATAACTTGCTGGAATGGTGCGCGCGGCTAGAATTAGCATATTTGGAATCAGCGTTTGAAGTTGAGTTAGAATATATTAGGTTGGCGCGAATGTTCTGTCGTTTCATTTTAAAAAGTTTGTAACTCCGCGAAATTTCAATTTGCTTGCTTGTAATTCTTATTAGAAAGAATAAGTCTTTCGCTCTCAAATGCTGTATCGTGGCGCTTCTGTTTCATGCTGGGTGCGGAGATAAAAATGGAAAAGTAAGACCATATAAGCTTTGACCATTTTAAGCTAGGTCACCAAAAATCTGGAACGCTGCAAAAAAATCTGAAATCGTCACTACTTATGTTTTTTGACCTACTCTTTGCAACTGTGAAAATGTGCTGTTTGGACGTCTCTGTGAGAAGTTATGAATATCGAGTTTACTATGGAAAACGCCAAAATTAATCAATTTGTCAATTTTCGCGAAAATCATAACTTCTCACAGAGACGTCCAAGCAGCATAAACTCTTCACAGATGCAAAGAGTAGGCTAAAAACATATGTACTGATGATTTCAAAATTTTTTTGCAGCGTTCCAGATTTTTGGTGACCTAACTTAAAATGGTCAAATCTCATATGGTCTTAATTTTCCATTTTTATCTCCGCACCCAATGTGAAACAGAAGTTCGCAAAACAGTTTTGAAAGTGAAATACTTATTCTTTTTAATAAAATTACAGGCAAGCAAATCCGTTGAAACAGCGCAAAGTTACAAATTTTCAAAAATGAAACGACAGAACTTTCGGGCCAACCTAATATATGTATTAGGTTGTGTAATAAGTTCTGTCCCATTTTTTCTTTCGATTTTTTCTCAATATTTTGTGCGATGTTCTGTAAATTGTTTATATGCATTTGAAAGCTCTAAGCCTTCTCTACTAAAACTTTCATTTCGGTTTCCTACATCAGATGACATGAAAAAATTTTACAGCGTCAAATTTGGAAAATCAATCAGGGAAAAAGTCCATTTTCGACAACTACGTTACGTCGCTTTCTTAATTAGTCAGAATGCCTAGGAATGAGTTCGAAAAATTTGCTACACGTAAGCAAAGAATTGCTAGCTTCTATTGCGCTTCAGGAGTGCTGAAACTTTTCAAAAATCATTTCTGTAGACTTCAAAAAAAATTCTTCTTTCTAACGCCTTTTCAGCTTTGGTGTTGAGTATCATCTGAAGGCATCCTAAGGAAGACGGTAGGCGGATCATCCAGAAAAGACAGAAGGAATGGTTTGTGGCTCCAAAATTATCGAATTCGTAGGTTAAATACTCAGAATGCGAATTTTGGGAGCTACACAGCTTGGGTACGCGAGACGGCGAACATCGCCGTGACGAAATCTTGCCTTGCCGACTTCCAAAAAAATGTCATCAAATAGCCGGTGGAAGGAAGGGAACATGCGCAAACAGTGATAGAATAAATGTAAAAATCTAATAGATTCTTTTGGTTGTTGTCAAGCTCGTTTCATAATGTTTCATCAATAAAAATCGAGAAAGATTTGGAGGAAAAAAGATGTCGAAAATTGATTTCTCGGCTCTCTGGATTTTTTATTTCAATGATAAAAATCTCTTTCAATTTCCTCCTGTGTTGGGGAATGATGCATATGAGCCTGTAGAGCAGACTTAGAGCTTTCAAAAAGCATATAACTTTATCTCAAATATAGTCAATGTTAGCAAGAAAAAACTAAAACAAAAAATGGGACAGAACTTATTACACGACTTAATATTTGTCTCTTGCCAAAAGCTCAAGCTAAGTTAGGTAGCTTTCTTCACAGGAAAAAAGGCATAATTCATATTTTTCATATACAGGAAGTCCCAGATGTACGCATGCACTGTTTGATCGTTGACATCTTTCTTCCCATT